TGACAGACCACACATTACCAACGGGATGATCGTACCAGGGTGGACGATACATATTTGGCATGTCTATAGGAGCAGATATTTACTTGGGACCGACGATTTGACCTGATTTTCCCACTTGGCAGATAGAACACGTCCCTGCTTATGTGGCGCCAGAGCACTACCATCGAGGTAGGCATGTCCCACAAGCGAGGGGAGCACGAGGCAAGGCTGTCCCACGAGGTAGGGGTGCGTCACAAGGCAGGGCTATCCCACGGGGTCGTGGGGGCCGGCGAGGAGGTGGTACCCAGCAAGGCGGCGCTAAGGCACCTGATGAGGCTGTTGGAGCTGATCTTCCAGGTGACCTCCATCAGCCAGACGAGCATCACAACAGCATGCCATCATACAGCCTTCAACTGATGTTGACTCCAGCAGCATCGCAGGTGACCCTGTCAGATCCATTGTTGATCATGGGCACGAGCATTACCGGAGATGATTGGGAGTTCTTTTCAGGCCCATCGACCGCTGCTGAGGATCGACCGACTTGAGATGTGGATGGTGGGCGCCGGCTGAGTTATGGTTCATCATCGACGGGTGTTGTGGATGTTTCAAAGGCGCAGGTATGTCTGTATTACTATTAAATTTAAATTTGTTTTTATCTCATGGATTCTCCATAAATAACTTTATAATTTTTTTATTAAGGCTTCATCCCAGCTCGTCACGGAGACCACTTTGTGCGATGCTGAGCAGGATACGATGGATGCTTATATTTAGGAGCCCGACGAGACCATGGTAAGAAAATTTAAATTTTTTTACTTAACACGTACATTACTAATATATATTTTCATATACTGAGCTGACTTATTCTTTTGTAGGTTGCTGATGGACCGACGGTCTATTCCACCGATAAAGAGGAGACGTGATGAGGATGATCCTGATAGCGTATCCGGGCGGGATGGGATGCGCCTCAGGCCAGCGGCTACATTGAAGCATACAGGTTGTGGGACACATTAATTTTATTTTATTATTTGTTTGTACTCTATGTAAATATTATTTTATGTAAATAATAACAATGTTTTATGTTTACATAATATGCGAATTATGTTTTTATTTCCCCGAATCTTCTTTATTTTAACATTACAACACAACCACAAACATAGCAACTTAATATAATTTAAATTCAGTACAACTAATGAAAACACATGACACCGGAAACATAAAGATAAAGTACTACACTCAACACATACATGTCATTGTTTAGTCACCACCGCCTATTATTCTCTGCTCCAACCACTTAAATTTCTCTTCCAGCTTATTTTTTTTCCCACCTCTTTTAGTTTCTCCTTCAACTCTGCAGTTTCTTGTTTATATTCTTATTCATATTCCCACTGTTTTTTGGTCAAATCATGAAGATACTGCAAAGATTGTTTGTAGCATTCCTGCTCACATGGTTCATCAAGTCATACCTCAAAATTGCAAAATTTTGCGTTGTTGCCTCTAAACCTGTTCACACACATCCAGTATCCGCGCCCAACTTGACCATCATCCCAACAGTCTGCCATCATACAGCATTTGCCACATTGGCAAATTGGTACATACATGCGTTCAGACATTTGTTAAAGCAAAAAAAAAACCCTGCTATTATGGAAAGTTTTGCTATTTGTTATGGTTAAGCGCATAAAATAACTAGAATGCCCCCGTTATTTATAGGCAAGAAAACACACATAACGTAGTATTTAATCGTGCTATATATATTCACACAAAACCTAGTACTAGAATGTACCCGCTCTACAGAACTTAATATACCACCATGCCGATCAGATATTAGACAAATACCTGAACGTTGTTTGACAACGTGCTGCTTCAAGTGGTTCAAAAATAGCGTCCACGTCTCTTCACTTTCATTGGCACAAATGGCAAAAGCTAGTGGAAATATTTGTCCATTGGCATCTACTGCAACGGCAATCAACAGCTTAATATCATACTTTCCATAAACATGAGTACCGTCTATGGAAATTATCGGACGGCAATGCACAAAACCATCAATTGCTGATTTAAATGCCCAGAACACGTATCTGAATATATATTCTGGTATTCCTGCACTCCGCTCAAGCCTCCATTCAACAACAGTCCTGGGGTTAAAGTGTTGCAATGCAGCCATGTACCTGGGTAGAGATGCAAATGGCTTATCCCAGTCACCATAAACAATTTCAAATGCATGTTTGCGCCCGAGATATGCCTTTCTTTTGGTAATAGTACACCCATATTCCTGGTGGACGGATGTAATACACTCTTTGATCTTGTACCTAATGGATGCTTCAATGTGTAGAACCAGTTGAAGAGAAATGAAGTCAACATCCAAGTTGAAGTGATTCCCATTGAATGTGTCCATTTCACAAATGTAGGTGCCAATATATTTACCCACTTTCCACAACCTTGTTTCCTTCTTGGTCGCACGCAGCATCCAGTGACAACCCGTAAACCATCAATGGCAAACAACCTTGTATACATCCGGACTTGACTCCCATACCATCATCTCACGACACTTTCTTACGCTGTACATTTTACAAGCCCTGGTTAGGCGAGCTTTATTAGGAAAAATCATGCCATTTGCCAGCACTGTTGGTCTAGACTTATCCCACATTGCTGTTCGAATTTCGTCAAGATCCCTTGTGAGGCATCCACATCCGGCATACTTGGCAAATTATGAAGGTAGGGAATATGTCTCGAATGAAACGGCACGTGGGACTCGTACATTCTTGGTCTGATGGGAGGTGGAGCATGCTCCCTCGTCAGCTATTATCTTCATCACTCGTACACTCTTGGTCAGACGGGAGGTTCGACATTTTCTTCCTCATCATCATCACCCTCGTTAGGGAAGGGTGCGTCATCTCCAGACTCATCGGCATTGTTGTCATAATCACTATTATCTTGTGCATCTACCAAATCCCGAGTAAATACGTCGTCTACAGGCAACTAAGTGCGGTCAGGACCATCAAGTTGCTCGTTTTCACTACACAAACAACAACATAATAAGCTACTCAAACTGATAAATACTTTACATATAGATATATGACTTCACTTACAAGTGGTAATGTGTTGACATTCCAAGATGGATATTATCCTATTGGTGATGACTCCCGGATGGACCACCGTGATCTAACACACCAAAACTACCCATATTCCAACTGGGTGTGGGTTCATAACTTGTAAAATTCATATCTGGACGGTACCCCCTATGGAATATATGAGTGTTAATACAAATTCAATACAACAAAAATAAACATCGTAACACAAAGGAAAATTGAAGTTTACCAGCCGTCTTGTGGATTAAGTAAAGTAGGAGAGAAATTATTTCCTCGCTCCTCGTTCGCCTGTGGATATAAGTTTAGATCCGGCCAAACTCTTTCAGCCGGAACCTGTTAGGCTAAAACTTCTCTAGAATAACCACTCGATGATTGAGGGTTATCCTTGCTTTGCGCAACATCATTACTGCGAACATATTCATGCTTCACGTACATTTCCAATATTTTTATCAAAATAAGTCCCCGGTATTCATCCGGAGTCCCCAAAATATCTCTTAAAGTTTCATCATCCTCGATGTTAAACTCAGCGTAACAAGCTACCTCTTGCGGAATCACAGAATACGGATATCTTCCGGTTATTTTAAGATTCACCGAACATTTGCTCGACCTCATTTTATTGCATAACAACGATACCAGTCTGTCGTACTCCATTGTAAGTGGAAACTTAACATGACTCTATGGAGATAAACTATAGCTCACTGAGTTATTCGTCACCACAACCTCACCCTCCCCCAATATAATGAAACTCTTACTTTTCGCTCTTCAGACATTATGAAAAAAGATTGAGAATTTAACAATAAGAAAAATTTATCACGAAGTTGGAGTATTTCTGAATGATTTTTCTCAAAACCCGTAACGACTTTAAATAAGGCAGTGTCCAATCCGGGGGGGATCAAATTTTTGGAAGTAAAACACAATTTAAAAGGGTGTTTTACATATTTGAATTATTGTTATGTCAGTTTAACGCAGAAGAGTTATTGGGCCCACAAACATGTAAAGCGCGGTTTGTTACTGCATTTTATATAAAAACACGTGAACCGCGCTTTATATAGCCGTCTTATCAGCTTCCAGATAAAACGTGGTTCATTAACACGTTTTATATAAAACGCAGTATTAAACCACGTTTTACCGTAACGTTCCAAACGGACGTTAAGGTAAAACGTGGTTCAAAATTGCGTTTTACATATTTTGATCACTAAGTTTTTTTTCACCTGTTTAAGTATTTTGAGTCCAAAAAGACAACATTTCGATTTTGGACTCGTTATATGAAGGGTCTGCCATATAGTACAAGTATCATGGCAGAACTTCTAGCTCTTTGGCAGGTCCTAAAAGTTGGTCTAAAACAAAGAATGATACCTTTTGAAATCACTATTGACTCTGAAGAAGTGATAAGAATGATAAAGCAAGGACACCTTCCTTACAATTCCATTATTTGTGAATGCAGATCATTGATGAAGCAGCTCGGAAACCCAGCAATCAGACATAGCTTCAGGGAACAAAGCCAAGTAGTGAACCTCCTCACCAAGGAAGGAGCTAGCTGGGAAAATTTTGCCAGCTTGATCTTCTATACAGAGTTACTTATTACATTCATCTACAGGTGGTCACAACACAATTTTCATTAACAATGTTAGAAACTTATATAGACCTAAGTTGCAAAAAGACAACAAACCATTTGCATTTTCATTAATCAACTATCCAACTTTGATCACCGCAATAATTTATCATTGTACAAGTCGAATTCACTTGTTCCAACCATTATGATATATCAATCATTGCATATAATCTTGAGAGGAAAAAGGGTATCCAAGATGGGAAAAAGATGAAAATGCTTTTCTTGTTCAATATAATTACAAGACAACACAAACCTTAGAAGGAAAGAACTCCATTTTCACAAAATGATCAATCTATATCAAGGTGCCATTTGCTCAACTAGCACTCTATCAAATAAGCAGCCTCTAGAAATGATTGGCTCATATACACAACAGTTCATTATGGTAGTTTTGAAGTTACACAATTGAAATATAGCCTCAAACTATCATGAAAAATGCAGCTTTCATAGAATGGCTCACTCTGTTGTGATGTATGATCACCAGAATGTTACACCATTTTTAACTACTTTACATCAACCAGACTGTTACACGATATTTCAGAAGGTACACTTGATCATGTGAATACATGAGTAACCAAACAAACATCCAGAAAATGAAGTAACAATTTTACAAACAGAACCCACTAGCAGTTCTCTGGAGTCCCAGCGAACGAATCCAGGTCTGCCTTGCATCTCTCTCTGAGGTCAGTCAGTGTAACTAAACTACCTTCCTGTAACATCCAAATGAATTGATCATCAGGTTCATAGTAGTTCTGTAAATTTGAGTTGTATATCGATATTAAGCGCACATCCTTCGGGAGAGATTGGGGGTTTGCGTGAGTTGGGGAAGTGTTTATGCAGAAGGGTTAACATGATGCAACTAAGCATCATTTCCAAATAGACGGCTCGCGTGAAGAGCAGAATCAATGTGGCAAGATCATGACCAACTCACTCTAGTTTAACATGGAGCATATTCCATCAGCTGAAACTTGCAGTAATGATAGTTCAAGAAAATTAAAAATCAAGAATCAGACAACAAAGGTTAGCAGCTTTCTCAGATTGGTGACAAGCTATATTCTCTAGTGACCACTTAATCAAGGTTTAGAAGCTTGTTTCCCAAATTTAAAGGCAATATCACAACTTCAATCAATTAAGTACTCCATATTTAGATTCCTAAATGTTCGAAAAATCTAAACCTTGATAATAGCGCAAATAATAAAATCAATTTCCCCACCTGACATATTGATGTCCAGAGAATATGACTCAAATTGGTTGCTTGTTGAGAAAATAAATCATAAATTCAAGGAGACTGTTGAAAGCCACAAACTACTAGCACTCTAATTTTGCCACACATTTGACCATGGCCATCTCTACTTACATAACTTGACTGCCAAAAACATGGTGTATCTACATTTCTTAACAGTTGATGTTTCTTTAGAGGGTAAGATCAGATTGTTATGGACTACGAATAATTCTCAAATGAAGGACTCAGATGACAAAAGAATATAGAATAAGAAGGGGAGCAGTGAATCAGACACCCATTGCAAAGTTGATACTTGTGTATATTATAAAATTTAGTCTTCATATTACTTCTTTCATTGAATTCATTATATTTGTATCTGAGAATCTTAAATCAGGGTGGTGACTAGAAGCAAGTGACAGAACATTTAATTGAAAAGACTTCCTAGTCTTTCTCTCCAGTCAGCAGTTCACAAGTGCAACTATATCGCTAATTATTATTTGACAGGAAAAAAAAAAAGTAAAGGGAAAAAACAAATTGTCATCAAAACCTCATATGCTAATTGATGTTCTAAGTTCTAACAAATAATCTCTGGCTATTGGTCCTGAAGAACTCAATTGGAACAGTAAAGAAAATAAAAGACTGCTACAACTACAAGTAGCAACATGGCTAAATTTGCTACAGTTGCAAGTAGAGATTATCCCTCATTCCTCCCTGGGTCAACAGCAGACTAGGAATATTCTACTTTTCAATTAATGAAATAAAGAGAGACTTACTGCTTCCCTATCTATTAGTAACAAGTCATCACGATTTTTATTGAAGATTCGACTTAGCTATAAGACATTTGCGCTGCACATTTGCCAAGTTTGAAGAAATTAGTAAAAGATAGCAATCTTATAACCTATGAACCATGCCTCCGTCAAAAGGCACACTGATGGCACAAATAACAGTCCTCGGCATGAATGATCCAACTAGAAAGAAAAGACAATGCACCAAACCAACAGCTCAAAGAAAGGGAGCAGGGTCGGCTTTAGGGGGAAGCCACTAAAGCAATTGCTGTAGGCATGAATGATCCAACTAGAAAGAAAAGACAATGCACCAAACCAACAGCTCAAAGAAAGGGAGCAGGGTCGGCTTTAGGGGGAAGCCACTAAAGCAATTGCTGTAGGCATGAATGATCCAACTAGAAAGAAAAGACAATGCACCAAACCAACAGCTCAAAGAAAGGGAGCAGGGCCGGCTTTAGGGGGAAGCCACTAAAGCAATTGCTGTAGGCCCCCAAATTTTTTAAATTTATATGTTATCACAAATTGTAAATTTTATTAATAAAAGATACTATATTTTATACTTCTTTTTGTCGCATGAGATAGAGATTATTCAGATAACTAGCTCGAGTTTTACAATAAATATGCAATATATGAAAATGAACAATTTGATGACGACTTTGATAATTAAAGAAAGAAGTATCTTGTAGTATCTTTTAAAGTTGATTATTTCTTATAAAGAGTGGATTAAGCCATTTTTCACTTCAAAATAGACTTGAATTAGTCCAAGAGTATGAAATTATTCTGACATCCGCTTAGTGGTTCGTACAAAATTGAGATTATTAGATTTATAAGAATTTATAAAAACATTATCTTAACTGTCAATATATGTTCCTATAAAAATATTATCTAGCCTTAGTGAGCAGAGTTACCAAATTTTTACAATGGTAGGAGCTAGCAGGTACCTGAGTGAATGATCAAAATACGTACAAGATGGTTTACATATATATATAATAAATTTAAAGCCTCTTATTAGGATTTGACTTTAGGCCATAATATTATTGAGCCGCCCTTGAAAGGGAGTAAACTTTGATGAAGAAAATTTCAACGCTTAATGATCAACAGATAATATGCATCTGATTCACAACTCCCAGAGACAATATGCAAAAATATTGAATGACCATCTACACCAACTCAGAGAGTGAGCAGAACAGTTAGCAAACTTACTAGCTGGTCAGCTTCGTGTTGAAAAATATGCTCCATGTGTTGAAAGAGTGACTTCCACTGACCCAGTAAACTTGATTCAAGATTTGCGGCTTCAATATTTTTTTCCGGACCCTCCTTCCAAATCCCTTTGCCCCTGCAACTTCTGTCAACTAAAATGCTTGCATCTTTCTGGCTCTTCTTTATGGCTAGGTATAATGAAAACAGTAGTTGCATAAAGAAAAGCAGCTGAGAAAGATATTAAGTTTCATCGAGTAATTATAAGTAATATTTTTAGGATGACTCACCACTTATCCGACCCTTGATATCTTGGTAGTGGAGGTCTAACCATATATTGGCAGCTGATCATCAAAGAACAAAGAGAACTAAATCAATACTCCATTAATATTGAACTGAAGTAAGACAGGATAGAAGCTCAGAAGAACTTAAATCAAAACCATGGCCTGCGAGATACTTTTACCTTTGGTGCAAAAGCTACAGGAACAAGCTTTAATGGAGTCAATGCTAGCACTTAAACCTGAATTATCCTCACAAGTCTGTGTTCCTACTACACATGTGTCAAGTTTAACTCTCGACTCCTGTGACTCTGGCAATCTTGTGAAGTCTACTGAGCCTGACTGACTCATAACCAGATTATCAACACCTTGTTCATCGGGATCCATGTCACTTTCGGTACCCTCACTATCCTCGTTAATTTCACAACTATGAATAGCATCATGGTCTTCAGTTCCGGACAATGCTTGTACCGGTACACCAGTTACCAAACCATCCATATCATTAGTAGCTTCAGAAATTTTCTCTGGAATACTATCCTGGTCATTGATAACTTCAATCACACTCCCACGAGCACTACTATTCTCATTGTTATCTCCGATTGTACTCTTGGAGATAGCAGTAGATGAACCAACGTGCAAAAAATTGGGATCCTGGTTATTATTTGGTATGTTTGAAATCCCTGATACAACATCGACCTTTGACGAACTAATCATGTTACAAGAAGGAGGAGCAACACAAACACGTTTAGCTTTATCTCCATCATCCACCGACACAAATTTCCCCCCTAGATTTTCTCTTCCCTTATCTGCAGATTTTAGACCTGGATTGCCCCAAATTGAAGAAAATGGCCTTTTGTTTCCAATCTGATTTGTTATATTTCCCAAAATAGGTCGAGCTCCACAACGCCTCTCGATAGCATTATGTTCATCCATCCTGAAATCACTAATCCAACATGAACACTACCAACACCAAAAACAAAAACAAACAAAAAAAACAATCTTTAGCCCTAAAAACACATAAAATCCAATAACACAATTCTCAAATTTACTACAGTTCATGAAACTCAAGTACCAAGAATAATTAACTATAATACCAGACAAAGAATTGAAAATCAATAATTAGATAAACGGATTGATAAGCTTAAAGGCTCACAAGTAAGGGTACAAAGCCCCTTTTTACACATTTACTCAAATAATAACAGAAGCAGCTAGTGTACAGATAAAACATTAAAACCCTAGTGAAATTACGGGCAAATAAGAAAAACTAAAAAAAAAAGGTATAAGAACAATAATAGAAAAAAAATACTAACTCGATTTGAAAATATCATGTGCCTCTTGGATACTGACCTTGAGAAGAGATTTAACACAAAATCTAGAGAGATTTGTAGAACTCAATGTACACTGTTGAAGTATATGATGGAATCTTGATTTTATTTTAGGGCAGCTCCAAAAATAATGATGGTTTTTTTTCTTTTTGGTGCTCAGGAGCTTGCTTTGTGAGTGCGAGTCTTGTGACAGTGAGCTCTGTTACAATATNTTTCCTTTTTTGGTGTTCAGGAGCTTGCTTTATGAGTGCGAGTCTCGTGACACTCAGCTCTGTTCCAATATTGTATCAGAGAATGGTGAAATTAAAGTTTCAGCAATTTTAAGGGGCGGGATATTGGAATTTTGGATAAAAAGATGTCTAGTTTTTGACCCCCTTCTTTGTTGAAAACCTATCATTATCGGCGCCACTTTCTTACTTGGAGGGAAAGTGACTGGGCCACGAATTATTTAAGTCCAGGATTATAGTTCGAACGTAGCACACCAAAAGCCCACTATAGATGGGCTGGAAACTTAAGAGAGAAAATACATTTTTAGCTGCTCCCCAAAAATAATATTAGTTTCAGTCGACCGTTTAATTTCGTATTTTGCCACTCTTAAGATCCAACCGGTTCACACCAAAAAAAAAAAAGATTGAAAATTCATGAAAAAAATTTGCAGAAATATGATTTTTTTTTTTTGGATGGTCTTTAACATTTGACTCCACTTGCCTCATGGGCAAAATTTCAAGGTCAAAAGTTAAAAGTGTTCTCCGTGTGGCAAGCGAGGGGCAACAATGTAAAAATTGCATGGGGCGCCCTATGTGGGCGCCCTATGTGGTCGCCCCCATTTAACCTATACCCATATTTTTAAAATTATTTAACCTATACCCTAATTTTTACAACTTCAGGTCCCTTCTTCTTCCTGCTACATGTGCGCTCCTTTCTTCCTCCTTTCTTCTCCAAAGTTTTCTTTCTCCAACTGTCCCTGACTCGACAGTTCGAATGCAGCGCAGTGCCCAACATGGAACAAAATTGGGAGTTGGAATTCCATGTTTTCATTGCTAACTCATTCAAACATAAGAAATCAGATGGGAAGAGCTTATTCACTAGAAAATAGAGAGAGAGAGAGAGAGAGAGAGAGAGAGAGAAGAGAAGCTGAAAGAATTAGGGGAAGGGACTGTCCAGGATTGATGGAGGGAGAAGCGGAATTGCAGTAAAAGCGAAGAACATTATTATTACTGCTGCGGAATTTGGAGGATCTATGAGCATTGAGCCAATCCAATAGAAACAAAAACTGAAAGCTTTCTCATTTGCACAACCCCTTTTAATTTTGCTAACTACGTAGGAGTATTTGTTTTGAAACGAAGATGGAAGTGGAAGCAGCGTGAGGAGAATGAGGTTCGTTAGAAGCATAAATCAGTTGAAGTTCAGCAAATATAGAACAAAACTTCAGCTAAAATATGTTGAAGTTCAGTAAATAGAGAACAAAACCTCAGCTAGTACGACTGTAGAACAAAAACTTCAACTTATTTAGCGCTAAAGTTTTTACAAATGAACTAAATAACTTCAGCATCTTCTGCTGAAGTTTTTGAAAAAATTTTATGACAAAACTAATGAATCCCGGACAAAACTTTAGCTTATTTAGTGCTGAAGTCTTTCTAAATAACTTTAGCATCTTCTGCTGAAGTTTTTGAAAAAGCTTTACAACAAAACTATTGAATCCAGGACAAAATTTCAGCTAAAACATGCTGAAGTTCAGCAAATAGAGAAGAAAACTTCAGCTAGTAGAATGCTTAAGTTCAGGAATTACAAACAACTTCAGGCCCGTCTACTAGAATGCTGAAGTTATGCGTGATTGTCTTTGCTACTTCAGGCCCGTATGCCTGAACTTTATACGAAAAGTGGGTACGCTTGCAATATTTTTTACAAAGTGTGTATAAGTTAGAACGTGACCCAAAAAGCGAGTATAGATGCAAATACCCCGGCAACAATTGTTAAACTTGAAGTTCTTCTATTGGGCAAGCCAAGACAAAAAATTAAAGACAATCTATTTTAAAGGCTAGTTAATGTACTTCACCAATGTTTGCCCTTAAAATCGGATAACAATTAAACTTATAAGTGATTCTACGGATATGTGATTTCACTTGGCACAAACTGGTAAATGTATGAATTAATGATAGAAATTACAGTAAAATAAAGCAAACCAATGTGATGAACCATTATGGCCCTTGAGTTAATTTCCCTCGAATCAACTGAACAAGCTATTGAAAGCATGAACCGAACAACAGAGCTTGCGAGAGATAAAATGCGATATATTGCTTTGACATGCGTAAATGTAAGATAATTACAAATGGTTAAGACCCTCTTTATATAGCAGAGGAATCCTATTTTATGGTATAATTCTAAATATAGAAGGAGATCCCGTGATTAGCTTAACAACCGTCCTTGATTTGATTTGTTCCGAGATTTCTGCCATGATCCTCGACTAGTCACGGATATCTCGCCTTTTCGTTATTATGCTATCTTTGGTCTTGCTTGATGTCTATCATGTTCGATCTCAATCATTACTGGTTTCAATCTCGACAAGTACTTCGAATCCCGAACTCGGTACCTTATCCTAGTGTCTCGATCTGATATGTTATGGGGCCGATCTTCGATCCATTCCCCTAGTCTCAGTTAATCAGTAAAATGGGGTGGGTCAAGTTTTAACCGTATACAGATAGTTCTTTCATTTTTTGGAATGTAATGACTGATCGCGGCGAACTCAACCTTACACAACGGTAGGAGGAGCGGGCGCTAATACTTTTACCCGAATAGTGGTATCGGTGTCAATTTCCACAGGGAGCTTGGAATGGAGTTGTGTATTTGCTTAGACTAGGAATGCATGTGTGCTCCTAATTGTACTTCTACCATTTTTTGGGTTTTTGTTTAATCACTACTATTATCAACTACAAGTTTAAGCAAATTTATGCTAAAAGGGTATGTTCTAAGTAGTGATTAATATAGAGAAAGGCACTAGGGTCGTGGCATCACCTAGGTGGTTAACTAACGGGTAG